AGAATGTAAAACATGCAAATAGCAACTTTCCTAACATGCTAGTGAAGTGCAAGAAAATTTTTCTTATGGAGATCTTAACATGTTTGTGAAAGCAAATCTATAGTTGGATGAAGGAGCGTGGATAAGATCATTTGATCCTTCTATGTGATAATTTTTTTATTATTTCTCTTATATCTTTTCTTTTAATGAATGAAATAAATATGAGTTTGCTTGTTATGCATTCAATATATCATATTTATGTAGTTTTGGGCTGATGATGTAAAAATTGTAGCAAGCACTAATGTATATTGTTGTGCCTTGAATGAAAAAAAATGATGTTTTAAATATTACATGTTCTTCATTTAAAGCATATAATGGCCATGTGTGTATTTAAATCTAGTGTGACGTTTACCCTTGGCAAAGAAATACAAGAATAATTGGATTGGCATGCCTAGACATTAAATTATTTAATATTCTAGGTTCTATGGAGATAGTAAAATAGTATGAAGGCCATAAACCTTTCTTTTCACCCCTACAAGCTCGATAGAGATTTAAACATGCATATACTCTAAACGACATCTAAACTAAAAGTCTCATTAGGAAAAATATATTATTTATATTCATTAGTCCTAAACACTTTATTTTCATTAGTATCAAAATTTTCTTGCAAGTTTTTCTTTCATTGACATAAACTCCAAAACCACGTTATATTTTTCAGTAGGATAAGTATTATACTTGAAGTAAACAATAGTAGTTAATTTGTAATTAAGTAGAACACTTCCTCATGGGTTTGAAACTCTACTATATCACTATAGTACTTGAATCGGCACATATATTTGCTTATTTTAGTGGGATTTTATTAATTATATATAAAAAAAAATCTAAGCATAGTTTAAACTTAGTAAGTCACATACTAGCTCATACTGGTAGCCACCCATCAGTTTTTTAGCTCTATTATTGGAGAAATAACATGGATTTTATAAATTTTAACTATATTATTGAAATAAGTGCTTATTTATCCCTACTTGTATCTTTTATCATTTATTTATCTTCTATTTCATAAAAATTTTAAATAAACCTAAACAAGTATTTTGTTGATTATTTTGCTTTTGATTTTTCTTTTTATTTATTTCATCATTATTGCATGCTTGGTCCATCTAGTAAGGAGTCTTATTATTTTACCCTTAGATAAAAAATACCATTATAAAAATTGAAAAATTAAAAAGATTATAGAATTGTCTAACCCAGTATAAGACCAGGATAATTATAGACCGCTTAGAGAGTATGTTAACCCTGTATTAGACGAAATCCATCAGAGTATCAATAGACATGCTAGCTATATTAATAACATTCTAAAAATTGTCATAATTCTGATGGTTTAAAATTCTTAATTTTTGAGAACTCCTATTGAAGATCTCAACGTACACTTAGCCAGTTTCTTGGAAATCTATATAACATTTAAGTATAATGATTCCAATGAAGATGCTATTAGACTTAAATTATTCCCAATTTCTCTAAGGGACAAAACTAAGATGTGGTTGAGTTCTTTTCCCCAATGCACTATAACCTCTTGGAAAGAGTTGGCTCACAAATTCCTAGTTAAGTATTTCCCACGTTCACAAACTGTTAAACTTAAGAATGATATCACATGTTTTGCCCAGTATGAAGGAGAATCAATTTATGGAAGTTGGGAGAGATTTAAGGAAATGCTTGGGAAATGCTCTCATTGTGTTTTACTTGATTTGCTAGTCATTAAAACTTTTATAATGGACTTGTAGGATCCCTTAGATCAATCATAGATGTTGTAGTTGGAGGATCTTTAATATATTAGCCATTAGAGGAAGGATATGAACTAATAGAGGAAATATCTACAAATAATTTCTAGTTGCCTGCTAACAGGGTGAATCCTAAGAGAGTAACTAGAGTCTATAAATCAGATGCTTTGTTAATTCTTACTACTCACGCAGCTAAAATTTTAAATAAATTAGATATTATGGGAGTAAGAGTTGGACCATATAGGCATAATACTTACTTTAATCATGTAATTGATCCTAAATGTAAGAGTATTGTGCCACATATTTCAATGTCATAGTGTTACCCCTAAAAATTTAATTAAAATTATCAGTTTGGGAATACAAAGATACCATTGGAAGAGGTAGTATTACAAATGGAGATTCAACTGTAGGATTAATCTATAGACCTTAGGGAAATAAAAGACCATATATGGCATCTTGCTTGGTTGATTAATAAAGAAAAATTAGAAGATTAATGAAATAATATGCATCTTAGTAGTAGGAGAGATTTATGAGACCCATATATGGACAGAGATCAATCTCTTAAGGATAGTGGTGTATAAGAAACTATAGAGGCTAAACCCCCTACTTAACTACCTGAATTTATCAAAGAATTGAGAGACAATTATAAAGTTTATATAGAGACCACCACCACCTTTTCCTTAGAGGCTGATAAAAAAAACGGTATAAGCAATTCTCTGGGTTCTTAGAAGTCTTTCAAAAGTTAATCATCAACATACCCTTCTGTAAAGTCATAGAGCACATACCCACCTATGCCAAATTTTTAAGGATGTTCTAAATAAGAAAATAAATGAGAATTTGAAATGCCAACCCTAACTTAAAATTGTGGCACTATAATTAAAAAAAAAAAACTTCCTAAAAAATTAAAAGATCGTGGTAGCTTCACCATTCCCATAACAATAAGAGATAAATTATATGGTAAGGCCTTAAGTGATTTAGGGTCTAGTACTAATCTTATATTTTTTATCCATCTTTAAAAATTTAGACATAAGAGATGTTCATCCCACCACTATCACCCTTCAGCTTATTAATAGATATTTCACTTATCTTAAGAGGATGGTAGAGGATATCCTGATTAAGGTTGATGTTTATATTTTATGTATTGATTTTATTATCATTAACATAGAAGAAGATAGGGAGATACCTCTTAGCAAAACCTTTCTTGGCCACTCAAAAGGATATGGTTGATGTTCATAAAGGAGAATTGACTATGAAGGTTTAAGATCAAAAAATTTTCATTGAAGATCTTAAATCTATAAAGTTCCCTCATGAGAAGAATAACGACTATTTTAGAGTTTATATGGAAGACGATGTAGTGGAGAGCTTTAAGGAAGATTTGTTAGGGAGGAAAATATTGGAAGAAAATGTTGAGGAAGATTGTGAGGGATTAGGAGAATATGTTAATCAAATGGAGATGATACTAGAATATTTAAGGAGATGATACTAGAATATTTAAGGAGAAGTTTGAAACTTCAGCTTTGGGTAAAACTTGAGGCCTTCTATAGAAGAATTCCTTAACGATCATTTTCCTTTGACTTTCCTTGACATGATTTTAGAAAGGTTGGAAGGATGTTCATTCTACTATTTTCTAGATGGTTATTAAGGGTATCACCAATATTCATATAGCACCTAAGGACTAAGATATGGATAACTTCACTAGTCCATATGGGATATTTATCTCTAAGAGAATGATTTTTGGTTGTTGCAATACCCTTGCTACTTTTCAAAGATGCATGATGTCAATTTTTCAGATTTAATTAAGAAATACATTAAAATCGTCAAGGATAACTTCTCTATTTTTGGCACTACATTTGATTATATTATAAATCTGGATCTGAGTCTTGTGATTTTAATGATAACAAATATTATTGAATTCTATACTATGTTTTCTCTTGTTATTGTTATTATTCCACATATATTTTCTTGTGTATGAACATTTTAGGTCCATCATACACCATGCAAATTAATCAGCTCAAAATTGGGTAGAATAGAGTTAAGTGTCTTGAAGAGTCTATAATTTTGCTTTTTCTTATTTCTATATTTCTTAAGTCAAATCATATATATGATGGATGTTAAACTTGGTGACCATACACACACTCTCAAAGGAGTGAGATAGTGAGAAAATTAGGAGTATAATTTTTTGAACTAATCATACTACACAATGTATATCGTACTTGATGATCAACTATTCTTTTTTTTTTTTTTTTTTGAGAAACCAAATCTATTGCATTAACTAAAAACAAAAGGTTATTACAAACTATAAACCATCATAACCAGATTCCTTCTTTAACAAATTAGCAAACGAAGAAAGAATCTTATTTGAAGACAAATTATCCCAATAATAGTTACTAAAAAGAGAATAGTTAGCACACATATTTGCTAACTTATTACAATCTCTATTTACCCAAATAAAAATAACATAATTATACTCTTTTAAAAAAGCAAGCTCTTCCATTCAATTACCACCCAAGTCTTGTAAAATTTTGATGATGTTGTAATTGTCACCTTCTATAATAATCCCTTTGTAACTTAGCATACGATCTTTTGTGATATCCCTTATAAAATGAACCGCCATAATGTCTAGTTGAGAGACATCCCAATGAATACAAGTATGACCATAAGCTAGAAGAAACCTCCCTTTGATATCTCGGATTACACCTCTATTTCCAACTTTATAAGATTGCAACAAGGATGCATCCACATTAATTTTGTTCCAATTGGGAAGAGAAGGGTACCAACAATCCAACAGTCTATTTGATTGATTAGTACCCTAGTGTCCCGACTTAACTTTTTCAATCATATATGAGATAGAAGCATAACTTACTGAACTAGTAGCAATCACCATGGCACTATCATCCTTCCCTTCATGTAACAACTTGTTTCTTAATCTCCAAGTAAGATAGACTGAATTGCAATAAATATTGATAAGAAATCCATGGTCTTTATTATTTCTTTCCATCTAATTGTAGCATTATTAAAACGATTCAAATATAGGAAAATAAAAACCCCATTTTTTGAGATAAAGTAAAACCTCCAACTTAACACATTTTACTGTTATATGGTCCAGATCTTCCCTAGCATTACAGCCTCTCAGACAGTCAAACTCTTCTTGGATCCTTCTATAAAAAAGTAATTGGAATGTAGGAATAGCATTATTGAATATGCACCACCAAAAGACCTTCACCCAAGGCCTGTGTTTAACATTTTTAAAGCACTCCCAATAAGAACAGGAATATTGCTCTTGAACCGAGGCGTTGAAAGCAAGTGCAGAGATTGAAGAACTAGATTTTTGATGAAGGAGCTCTAGATAATCTTCCTCCTTATCTAGCTCAATATGAATTCTACGACTAAAGCATAGAAGGTCTTCCCCAAATAGAATTTTTAACTCATCTACATTCCATTTACCATTTATAATTAGCTTATCCACTATAAGATTTCCTTATTCAGGAATAGCCACAAAAATTGGCCATTTGTTCAAACTTTTATCTAAGATCCATATATCATTACAAATGTCAATAGAGCATCCAGTTCCAACCTTCCATCTTACTGTTGGTTTCAAAAACTCCATTCCATTAGCTATGATTTGTAAGAAGAAGAACTCCCTTTTCTACAACCAACCTCTCCACAGTCAAAGCCAAACTTAGCTCCTAGCGATTTAAACATTAAAGAATCTTTCTCCTGGATTACCCTCCAAGCCAACATTTCTCTCAAGGGTCCAACCATACTTGCACAAGAATGAAGGCCACGACCACCTCATCTTAAAGGTTTGCACAAATTGTTCTAGTTCACATAATGAAGACCAAAATTCCCATCCTTCTTACTCCAAATAAAACTCCTACACAACTTATCCAATTCAATTAACACTCCTTTAGGGACCATAGTAAGAGAACAATATAAGATAGGAAGAGAGAGAAAAATTGATTTAATAAGGGTGAACTTTCTTGTCAAGGATATGAATTTGGTTCCACACACATCAATTAGCGTCAAAGCTTTCTCAATAATAAAATGAAAGTCTGTATCCATCAGCCTCCTCAATGCCACTTTTACCCCAAGATAATTTAATTCATTTATGACCTTAAATCCCATAATTCGTTCAATGGATTTCGTCTTCCTCTTCTTAACATGTTTCCCAAAATGAATAGCAAAATTTCCAACATTAATACTTTGCCCTGTCCAGCCACAAAAATCTGATAAAATAATTTTTATTTCCTTCACATCTTTGTATTTAGCTTCAGAGAAAATTATAATATCATATGTATAAAGTAGATGAGTAATTCTGGGCCCATTAGCAGCAATCCTATTTAGAGAATCTTTAAAATGGCTAATTGTGTAATTAAACTTATTTGACATAATCATAGTGGATGATCTATATCATATAAGATGATCAATTAAAATTAAGATTCTAGTTGACAATCACAATTTAGGAAATATTTTAAAATTTAAATTTTGTACTAATCATATCATACGATAGGTATTGTACTGTATGATATAATTAAATCTTGCCTAAATTAATCATATAATTAGGGAACAATTTTTATTATTTGATCTAGTTAGATCGTACATGATTATTGGACCCAATCCTACCGTATGACCTAAACTTCATATGATATAAATTTTTTTTATTGTTAATCGTACGAGATGATAATCCAAGTCTTTTGAACTAATCGTACTAGATGATTCTCAAATCATATAGGATGATCAACTCAATTTTTTGAACAGATTGTACATCATCTTTCTATTTGTACAATATGAGTAGAGCTATTTGAACTAATTGTACTATAAGATGTTTGATTATATTGTATGATAAGTATCGATATAATTGTTAAGAGAGTTGCTATTTGCATGTTTTACATTCTTGCAACTTATATAGTTTTGATGATTCTAAATATTATTGTTTTAAGTTTTGTTATCTCCTAACACT